ATTCTCTCGGAAGTACTTAACCTATCCAATGCTGTTTTATTCTTAAGCGGTCAAAGATGGTGACATTTTCTTCTTTTTGTTTGTTTGTTTGTTTGTTGTGAAACCGCATAATTTTCCTTATGCAGGTGAGCTTAACTGCCTCCAAGTGTTTGAATTATTAATTAATAATTAAGTGTTGCATTAATTATCTAATTATTAATTATAAATTGTCGAAGATGAGGCATTAAACAGTATTGCGTCAGAGTACTCTCAGTCCTTTGATGAATTTTCTTAGTGGCTGCTAGCTTCTACGGGCTTAATGGCTGCTGTTATTGGCTGCTAGCTTCAGTCTAGTTAAAAAAGAACAAAGGGTGGGCTGTTATGCATTCCGACATTAATGAGACAGGTTTAAACGGCACCTGTACATTGAGGTTATTTTTTATGCCCCCGTATCGAAGATTCGGGGGTATATAGTTTTTGCCCTGTCCGTCCATCTATCTGTCTGTCTGTCTATCTGTCTGTTTGTCCGCAAAAACTTTAACCTTGCCCATAACTTTTGATTGGTTGGAGCTATGGCTTTCATATTCCCCATGTGTATTCCTTGTGACAAGACCTTTCTTTGGGTACCATCATATTTGCCTTTTGACCTTGACCTTGGAGTTTGTCCCAGTTTTGCAAAATTTTACCAAAGTTTAACCTTGGCCATAATTTTTGAACAGTTAATGCTAGGGCTTTCATACTTCACATGTGTAATCCCTGTGTCAGGACCTTCCTTTGGATACCAACAACTTTGACCCTTTGACCTTGACCTTGCAGTTGGACCTACTTTTTGAAAACTTTATCCTTGGCCCTAACTTTTGAACAATTGGAACTAGGGCTTTCATATTTCACATGTGTAATCCTTGTAACAAGACCTTCCTTTGGATAACAACAACTTTGACCCTTTGACCCTGACCTTTGAATTTGGCCTACTTTTGGAAAACTTTAACCTTGGCTATAACTTTTGAACAGTTAATGCTAGGGCTTTCATACTTGACATATGTAGTCCTTGTGACAAGACCTTTTTTTGGATACCAACAACTTTGACCCTTTGACCTTGACCTTGGAATTGGACGTACTTTTTGAAAACTTTAACCTTGGCCCCAACTTTTGAACAATTGGTGCTAGGGCTTTCATATTTTACATGTGTAATCCTTGTGACAAGACCTTTCATTGGGCACCATTAATTTTGACCATTTGACCTTGACCTTTATGTTACCCTTTTCCATATTTTTTTTCAATGGTTACTGCTAGGGCTTTCATATTTCACAGGTATATTTCTTGGGACAAGACCTTACTTTGGGTACTAACATATTTGATTTGCATTTGAGAAAGTTTAACCTTTGCTATAAGTTGCCATACGGAGGCATCAGTGTTTCACAAACACATCTTGTTTTTTTTTTTGTTTTGTTTTGTTTTTGTTTTTTTTTTTTTTGTTCTTTGTTTTTGTTTGTTTGTTGTTTTTTTTGTTTTTTTTTTTTGTTTTGTTTTTTGTTTTTTGTTTTTTGATTTTCTTAATATGTTACAAGACTTGATAAATCTATTATATCGTAGACTTTAAAATTCTACTTCCATGTATCTAGACAGTACGCACTCCTGTGTGTTTTATATCCAAGATAACATTATTATTATTATTCATTATTACATGTATAATGCTTTTATATAGCACTTTTTCTAATCATATAATTACCCTAAAGCACTTAACATGTAAAACAAGTACAAAATATGTACCATATAAAACGAAGAGAATTAAATAAATCCAAAGGACATACAAATAATAACAAACTAAAGGAATTTAAAGTACATGGAAAAGGATTGTTTTAAATCAACTAGATGTCTTATTGTTTAAGAAATAAATAAAAAAAGGTGAAAAAGTTCTCTGGAAAATTGAAGTTAACTGGTCACACGATCAAATCTGGGCTTCGCAGTAGATTTGATCACGCACTAACCAAGTTTATTTTCCAGAGAATTTTTTCACCTTGTTATTTATTACTTATATTTACATTTTAGACGAATAAACGAAGAGAAATATTACACGTACGGTCCACCGTACCACTATATTGTGAAACAAATGTACGCAGTGACAAAGAAATTATTAGGTCACGGAAGTTTGCTTAGCTACAACATTTGAAGGTCGCAATCAATTTCTGGAAATTTAAATACAGTTACAGTGATCGGTATTGATGATGATCTTACTTTTTCTTATGATTACTTCAGTCGCCCGCGTGGCGCAGTGGTTAGAGCGTCTGCTCTAGAGTCGCGGAGTAAGGAGTTGATCCTTAAGTCGCGGGTTCGAGTCCACTGCGGGACGTGGTGAACAGTTCTTTGGATGAGAATGTATAAACTCAGGTCCCGTGGTGTCGCAGTAGTTGCTAGCACAAAACGATCCTTCACTCCTCAATGGCCCTGAGTGCCGAGCATAGATTAAATTTTGAACCCCTCCACCCGCAAGTGCCGCGTCTCAATATTAGTGAAAAATTCTCGACAGGAACGTTAAACAACAAACAAACATAATTCCTTCATATGTGAAGTCGAAGCGGTGGTATTTTTGTGAGCAAGGTATCATCACGCCGTGTGATTTGGTCACGCTATGACCTCTGACCCCTACTAAGTTCACACAAAATTAAACATATTTGCTCTTCAATAGGTTCATCTACGGAAATTATTTAAAAATTATAAATCAAAAAAGGTTTAAAAAGGTGTGTTTTAAGCTTTTAATTAAAAACAGTCGAAAACAGCTGAGGATACATTGAATATGGCATGGCTTTAAGTGATAACAGATCCATCAAAAGCGAGTTGATATCCTAAAAATTCATTAGATTTACATTTTGGTGTAAAGATGACAAGTTCTGTCTTTTCAAGATTTAGCTTGAGTACTTTATTTTGCATCCAGTATTCTAAATCAGAAGGACACCGTTCAGCTATCCTCTGGATTTATAATCAGGTATACCTGAATGTTATCCGCATAACAATGATAACACATATTATGTCTCCGGCAAATTTCTCCATTTGGTTTGTTTGGAAAACATGCAGCATAGACGTGGTCCCAAAACAGACCACAGCCGGACACCAAAGTGGAGTAAGAACTCTGGATAATGTAGATCCAACAGCAATTTTTTGACTTCGACCAGATAGACATAACTTTAAAAAGCATTCAAACACATTTCTTGTTCACGAGTATAATGTCCATGCTCAGTTTTGTTCATGTAGGAAGAAAATTGATGACATGTTGTGGTTTGAAATGTTTCATTTCATAATAATAAAAATATGTATCATTCCAAAATCTGTAATATCTTCATGTACATTGTAGATAGTCTGATATGTTTGAAATTAAGTTCAAATTCCCTTAAGATATAAATGGTTAATGCACGTATATACGCGACACCAAGAAAAAGGCAAATCAATATCGCGGAGAACGTCTTGTCTTCCAAATATAAGGTTTTAAGATAACAACTGAAAGATTTGGTGAACGGATATGCGAAGCCACTTTGTTAACATAGTCAAAGTAGAGAAGATATGACCTGGCCCCACCGCCATAAAACTTTGAGAATTCTCAAAAAAATTCTCAACTGAAGTCTTGAGAATTACTCAGCTAAGAATATTCTTAAATTCACTGCCATAAAACGATTTGAGAATATTCTCAGCTGAGTAATTCTCAAGACTTGAGTTGAGAATTTTCTCAATTTTTTTTCTCGCGAGACTGTTTTCGCGGATTTTTTTCGCTGATTGAAGCGGCCCGGAGGAGCTCTTTTTTGTCAAAAGGTAAGAAACCACATTGGTTACACGTAAATTAAAGATCACAACATTATTTTTGTCGTCTGCATTATTTATTGAACGTCATGGATGCAGAGGTTGTCACTGAGAGAAAAAGGGCGCAAAATTGGGGGGTGGATGAGGAAGTTGCACTTATTGAGGAAGTAAAATCTCGAACCTCAGTTTTATTTGGGTCGTTTAAGGGTAGTGGGAAGAAAGGAAAGGGGAAAGAAATCAAAGAAAAAGAATGGCAATCAATTGTGGACAAACTCAACTCGTACGTAGTTTAAGCAAATTATCACACATTCTCAATAGCCTCATTTATCATGATTCTGAAAGTATTAAGGAAAATATTAATTGTGAATCAGATGATCCTTTTCATCGATATAATACTTACGAAGGTTTAGACGGTGTGCTATCAAATTTTTTATTTCATATTATAGCCCCAAAGTGTGATGAGGGAGAAAGCACGTACATCTACCATATATTTCTTTCTTTTTTGAAAAAATAAAAATTCGCGTCAACTACAATTCAAGTGATACTAGAAAAGACCTCAATATATGAAAGTCGCTTTGGTTTTTGTGAGGTATACTTTTGATCGGTAGGCTAAACATTATGCTATGGTCTAACATACAGTATGTGCTATATGTTTTGAAATACATGTAAATGCGACAATTGTAAATTTAAAGTAGGCTTATATTAAAATTGGCATGCAAGATAACCAAACTTTTTGGCTAATGTATACACTAAAGGGAACTGCAACATTTCTATAAATAGATCCACGCGCATACGAGTGAAAAATGTGGTGGATCTAATTCTTGTTCAGGTGTCACATATATTGTAGACGTACAATTTTCCATAATTTTCAGACAATTTGACACAAAGAAGCGTGGATTGGAAGAAATAAAGAAAAAAATATTACAATATCAAGTCAAGAAGTAAGTTTAAGTAAAGGTGAAAAGAAGTAAAATTTTACTGTCACAAAATTTTGATTTGCTTAATGAAATTTTTATATTTATCAAATAAATACCACTGTTTAGAGAGAGGAACTAGTATATTTTTAGAACTTGTTTCCAGGCCTTCTAATTTGTTCAGTAAAATATGTCCAGAACAACAAAACAAAACTATCATCTCTTACTCTCTGGATATAAATTCATTTTGAATCTCTAATGTCTTGTGTTATTATTTTTTTTTAATTAAATAAAATTAGATTGTCATTATGTATAATAATGAACCATGTAAAATGTGTTTATACAGGCAAAGAGAAGTTGGATAGTGCTAAAAGGCCCAAGACTGGAGGAGGCCCTCCCCAACCCCCACTTACTGCAGAAGAAGAGACATTCTTGAGGTTATCTGAGAGTGAACCAAGTGTTAGTGGTGTGGAGGGAGGAATTGATACAGATGGTAAAAACATTTAAAATAGTATTAAATTGTTTGACTCTCTTTCTCTCTCTCTCTGATTTTGAACTTTGATGTGATTTTTTTTTTATTATATATTTTATTACAGCCCCTACATTCCAAGTCTCAGAAGTGAATGAGAGCCAGCTGCAGTCTGCACAACAAGGTATTTTACAAGTGTAGCACAAAACTGTACTTGTGTGATGTAAAAATTAGTTCTTCCTTATAATTAAACAGAGTTTTAATACATGTATATTAACTGTAATTCCAACTTTTCACACAAGCATTCTAATGTTATTAACTTTCTTAGTGTATTGATATTATTTTTAGCTCACCTGAGCTGAAAGCTCAAGTGAGCTTTTCTGATCACATTTTGTCCATCGTCCGTCTGTCTGTCCGTCCGTCTGTAAACTTTTCACATTTTTGACTTCTTCTCCAGAACCACTGGGCCTATTTCAACCAAACTTGCCATGAAGCATCCTTGGGTAAAGGGGATTTAAGTTTGTTCAAATGGAGGGCCACACCCTCTTTCAAGGGGAGATAATTAGGAATTAGTGAAAAAATAATGGCATCATTTAAAAATCTTCTTCTCAAGAACCACTGGGCCAGGAAAGTTGAAACTTATGTGGAAACATCCTCAGGTAAATTCAAATTTGTTCAAATTACGACCCCCGGGGGTAGGGTGGGGCCACAATGGGGGATCAAAGTTTTACATAGAAATATATAGGAAAATATCTTTAAAAATCTTCTTCTTAAGTACAGCAAAGCCATGATTGGTCATCTTTATATGGAAGCATCCTCAGGTAGTGTAGATTCAAGTTTGTTCAAGTCATGACATCCCCATCCCCCCCCCCCCCGGGATAGGATGGGGTCACAATGGGGGATCAAAGTTTACAGAGGATTATATAGGAAAAAATCTTTTTCTCAAGAACAGAAAAGCCATGATTAGTCAAATTAATATGGAGGCATCCTTGGGAGTGTAGAATGAAATTTGTTCAAATGAGGGCCCCGGGAGGTAGGGTGGGGCCACAATGGGGGATCAAAGTTTTACAAATGAATATATGGGAAAAAAATCTGCTGCTCAAGAACAGCAAAGCCATTTGTTATATTGATATGAAAGCATCATCAGGTAGTTTAAAATTCAACCCCTCCCCCATAAACTTTTCAATACTAAACTGATTTTTGTTTTTTTTCCTAGCCAATGTGCTCAGGTGAGTGATGTGGCCCATGGGCCTCTTGTTCTTATTTAATTTACTGATTTGCTTGCATCATCTCAGTCTTTGCCAATGAATGAAAAACTGATAAATAGAATTTATTGCAGGTTCACAATGTCAAGAACAGACATCAAATGGAAAAGATACATCAAGTTCAGTTGATTATGGTACATAATTATATATGTACATTTAATTTCTATCCAATGTCATTTTTGAAAATGATAATAACATACTTTTGAATACAAATATCAGAGTGACTTCATTTTAAATGATATAGTGTTATCATTTCTCAGTCTCTTTGTTTAAGTTCCTAGGATGGTTCAAAATGTAAAGAGAAAAGAGAAGACAGGTTGGTTCAGTTAATTACATTTAATGGTACATGCTAATGTAGACTAATGAAATCCATTGATATTCTACTGTTTTTCTTTACAAGTTACAAATTTAGAAAAAGTAAACATTGTGGATATCTGCATAAATAACAAAGTCTTTTTCAAAAATAAAGCAATAAAAAAAAATAATAAAATAAATAACAAAGTCATACAAATCATGAAATGACCTCCTCATATTTTCAGCAATGTAAAAGGGAAAAATTACTTATGTTTGTATAATTATTTTTTTTTGCCTGTATGAAAATAATAGATATCAAAGTACAACTTCTCAAAAAATTAAAAATACATGGATATTAAATTTTAAATGACCAAAAAAAACCCTGAACAAATTAAAATGAAAAAAAGCAGTTAAATTAAATTACAGGTGAAGCCAAAAGGAGAAAATTGGAGGAGCTGGATGAGAGAAATTTAATATTGGACAGCCAACGACTCAAGATAAAAGAAGAGAGAGAATGTCTTGCTCTTAAGAAGGAAGTCCTACTATTAAAAAAACAAAAACTGTTATGTGAAATTCAGTCATCTTATCCAGATTTTATTACAGCACTATCATCTGAATTATAATCATTTTAGTTTTGCAATTCATTATTACCATACATGTATGGCAGAGAGAGAGAGAGAGAAAGAGAGAGTCAATATGCATAGACTAATATACAGTTGTAGTTACATTTCATAAAACATATTAATAAACTGGCACTGCCTCTGACTAAAAGTGTTTATATTTCACAAATTTTAGAAAATCAACAAAAATAATAATAATAATAAATAAATAAAAATTTAAAAAAAAAATTAAAAAAAAAAAAAGGAAATAGAGAAACTAGAACTACATGTACATCCTTACTGAAAATTTAATCAAATTTAAAAAAATCCATTGGTGATGGCTGTTCTCTTCAAGACACCATCTCTCCTGTCCTGATGACCAGGGTCTTGAATGGCCTGTTGCAAGCAGTGCCACACATCAATGTCTGCACAGTCCTCTTGAATAAAGATATCCCCTCTTTCAATGCCAATATTGTGTAGGGTCACACAGGCTACTATGTATGTGATGGCTTGCTCTGATGAGGTTCTGAGACCGAAATGGAGGGCCTGAAATTTTCGCTTGAGGATTCCAAATGTCTGCTCAATAAGTACCATTGTCCTACATAAGCTGGCATTAAACCGTTCCTCTGATACTGTTCTTGGAGCAAGGTAGGGGGTCATCAAATACTTGGTGAGGGGATAACCTGAGTCGCCAAGTAAAATCCCATCACACATACCTAATTAAAAATATTTCCTTCTTTTATATAAAGTACATATATAGAATGATATTTACCGTACAGTGTAGTGGGTGATGGTAAAGTGTTGAATTTTCTTTCAAATGTTATATTTACCCGTTTCAAACTTTTGACAGAGGCTGGATGTCCTCCAAATCCTCGAGTCATGGCAGGAGCCTGGCCAACCAGCATATAGTGATGTGATCCTAAAATTTGGATCACAAACCATCTATAAATTAAAAAGATTTGGTTCAGTGACAAAACATGACATAGAATATGTCCAATGTTCAAATTAACTTTTTTCACGATTAAAAAAAAAAAAAGGGGGGGGGGGGGTTCACCTGTACATTCAGACTGTGGAACCCTTTCCTGTTAACATAATCCACTTCATTTTCATGCGGTGTACTGAGTCTTATCTGAGTACAGTCAATGCAACCTATCACATTTGGAAAACCTGCAAAGTCAAATTCATATTACAATATATACACTGAATATGTTACAGTACAATGTTTTTGAATTATGGCTATTAAAATAAATTAAAAAAAAAAAAAACTAATGTAGAATGCATATTATCCTCCTTTTCACAAATCCCTCTTTAATAAATGACTGTAGCCATAAATATTTTTGTAAACCTTATATCAATCAATTACAAGGCCTCTATCTCTCCTTTATTTTTCTCAGACCTTACTTGCATTTGATTAATTATTTAACCAGGCTAAGCCCCCTCTCAGTTCACAAACTTCATGATTTATTTCTCCATTGCTTTTTAATTGTTAATGTTATTGTTATTATTATTATTTAACTACTGTTTTTTTTTATTACATCCCAATTTTGATGTCTTTTTCTCTCCCCCCCCCCCCTTTCCACCTTTTAATTTTTCAAATTGAATGATAGATATTGCATTTTTTAATATTGTTTTTTGTTCTTTCAAGAAATAAAATCAAGGTATGTTTATATTATGCTATTCCAAATAAAGGGAAAGTGATGTATTTTTTTTATATTTGTACTCGTATTGTAATTGGATCCGCCCGTAATTCTTTCGCATGCAGTATTCCCCCTTACATTGGAACTCTCATTACACAGAAAACCAGTAAAAAAGAACGCCGAATCGGCGTATTTTCTTTTTCGCACACACTTTTTACAATTTCTGGGATAAAACATATATTGTATCGTAAGAAATCATATGGAAAGTTGGCAACATGAAGCAGAACTTAATCAAGTAAGTTTTTAAATATTGACAAGTGGCGCTAACGTTTGATCTGAGTGAAAGAGAGGAAATTTTTAAAACAAATTATATTGGAATGTAGTCTAGTGTTTGGAATTCATATACTAGTACCTGCTACTCTTCTGAAACCTTCTTTCACTTTTGTTGCTATTTCACCGACAGGAAAAGTGATGTAGAGTCTGGCAAAAACAGCGACTATAGCTGAGGCAACTGCTTTGACAGATCTACAGACGGACGACTCTGAAATTCCAAGACTGTCTCCAACCAGACGGAGATGGGCCCCTGTCGCCACAAATCGTAGGAACAGCAAAACTTGGAGGAGAGGAGAAATGGGCTTGTTCCTGTTGGTGTCAGTTGTCAATTCCTGATGAAGTCCATTGACCAAAAAGTGTGTTGTGGCTGGTCGGAATCGATAGCGCTGGAAAATCTCGTCCTCCTCCAGCATCTCCAGTGGGTTGCCTCTGTCCCTAAATACCCTTGGTCGTGGTAAACCAACACGTCGTCTGTGGTTCCTTCTTAATCTTCTATGCAAAGCGGCCATTTTGTTTTTTAGAGAATATTCTTAAGTAACCTTTTGAGCATTCTCAAATATTTGAGAATAAAACAGAGTTTGAGAATTTTTTTGTTACTCAATTTTTTTATGGCGGTGGCTGAATCTGAGAATTGAGGAGTTGAGAAAATTCTCAGACTTGAGAACATTCTCAGACTTAAGTATGTTTTATGGCGGTGGGGCCTGGCACTGTTCTAACCAAAAAGGCCATCGAGGTTCAATTTTAATAACAAACTCAAGTAGATACTTTTCTTTCTTCGCATGCAAAATCATGTTTGTTTGTTTTTTTTTTTTGTTTTTTTGTTTTTTGTTTTGTTTTGTTTTGTTTGTTTGTGTTTTTTTTTTGGTTTTGTTTTGTTTTGTTTTGTTTTGGTTTTGGTTTTTCTAAAAAAAAATTTGGATGTTGAACTTTTGCTTTGGAGGATTTTTTAATTATTCGTTCCTATGGTAAACATGAAAAATAACCCACTGAAAAAAATTTTAAATCTTAGCAATGGAAGGCCTAGGCTAAGATCAAAATTCTTTATTAAAAAGGTGATGCAAAAATTAATATGTTAAGCAAAACTAAGAAAAAAGTAAAACCACTTTTATTTTGCTTCTAAAGTTGTAAGAAAAATGTGACAAACAGAGGGACGGGTTTGACTACTATACACAAAAACTTTCTTTACAAAATATTGATTTCATGCATTAAATTACAGTAAGCACGTATATTATAGTTACTTACCATGCACTATCACTTCACATAACCCAGTTACACTTTGAGTTTCGTAACCATCGGGATATTTAACATCCTTCAATCTTTCGTTATAATAAATGACGTATCGTCCATGTTTCCAGCAAGTAGTGTTAAAATCCAGTGGAGGTAACTCTGGTCCGTCCTTGTAATAAAGAACCCAATCCTGTCTGTTGGTAGAGTTTGAAAGATAAATGGAGAATCCTGCGAATCTTCCTCGTTGTCTCATTACTGGAAATATTATTTGAAAACGATGAATAGAAAATAGTTTTTGCAGTAAGTATCTGGCAGAAAATTCGCAATCGTTTCTAAGTAGAACATGGATTTCATTTATTGAATGTCATAAATTCTTGCATTAATAGTTGATATTCTCAACCGCTTAATGATATTATTCTTTCATTAGCGGCGATTTAGCATTACCGGTTGAGAATGTCAACTATTAATGCAATTATGCAATAAAGTATGGCTTTAGGCGTTACAATTGCAACGTTTAATGATATTTCTATCATTAACCGGCATTTTATCATTAGCGGTTGCTACAAAGCTTTTACAAAATATGCATGCATTTACAGCAACAATTATGTTTGGAGTCATGCATTTAATTGGTGCATGGTTATAAATGCATGCACGAAAGAAAGGGAAGTAGTAGGTTTTTTTTCCCATTGTGATAAAGAAGATGGGTGAACAAGGCGTGCAAAATGGCTATAGCTTCAGATATTAAAAAAATCATATTCAATTTGTTAATGAAGCATTTAAAGTAAAGTTCTCATTAAAGAAATTTTGAAATTATGATCAACAAACCTTTTCTGAGAAAAAAAAATCTAGGAAATAAAATTCTTTTATTGAAAAATAAAATGGTATTGGTGGGATTCGAACCCCTAACAATAAAAATCAGGAGTATCATATTGCTTTGAGACTAAACGCTAACCACTACGCTACACAGCTCCTGATATATAGTGGCATTTAAATCATGTTTGTTATATGACCCTTGACTTAATGGATTTCAAGTATTTCTCGGAAATATGCGAATGCTTTGTCATAAAAGTGTACTTTTATGGTTATATTGGGACTTTGCTCCATGTTTTTTGTAAACTAAAAAATGTTTATTTTTATGCAAACTTTTAGGATTAACTTTCAAAAAATGGAGCAAAGACCCACTCATATCGAAAAATTTGGTTAAAGTATGAGAAAATGATCCTTTTATGTCCTCTTTAGTGTGTGTATGCTATTTCATAGGCAAACAATTTCAGTCTTTGTGAGATTTTTGTAAATTGTAGAGATTATACATAAAGTACACTTTAATGTAAGATGAAAGATCAAAGAAAATTTCGATATAATTGAGATTCAAATTCAGTATTTAGAAAAGGCCTAACAATTGGTTTGAAACATGTCAGCGAACATACGACCTAATGACAGGTTACATTGGTTAACAAAGTCATTATAACAACCATTGACTTTACGAAATGCTGAATTAGATTTTAAACGAGGTTGTTGAAATCCCTGTAATATCAACTTATCTCTCAGTAACCTGCCTCGGTTTAAAAATTGATCCTACTCAGAGCATGCTCGTGAATATCGAATAAGTTGGGAGATGTAAGCATCATATGCAGGTGAAAACAATTCAAGTTGTAGTTGCATAACCGAACCCTACCATCCCTTGCAATCTCAGACGTCAAATAGATAAACGTTTATGAAAGAAAATGCAGAAGCATATCTTTAAATTGTCTTTAATTTTAAAGATTAAAATGTGAAATATCTTAATTGTTATGATATGATTTAACATTAAAATATACGGCATATGACATATATGACATATTATTAATACACATGATAGTTCTCCGTTGGCCGTTTAACGTGGCGGCCACGTCACAGTTAAATCCCTCGACGCCACAGTTAAGAAATCAGCGCAACAGTTCCGCCACAAGTAAATATTAGTCCCACAGTAAGATCGTTTTCTATCAAGAATTAAGATAAGGCCATCTTTAAAAATTGTTTGTTTGCCCTCTCACGACCGACTGGCTAAAATTGACCCGACTCAAAAACTTTTTAAGGAAGCTCTAAACACTGCACACTAAAGAGTTCTACTTGTATCAATGGTATTTTATGCAGTTAGAGTGATCTGCCCTTCGAAGTAAGATAGAAAAAAAATGGGGTTTTTTTACTGTTAATTACACAATTTATAATAGATTAAAATATTCTTAGCATTAATTTAGAACAAGAATAAGTAATTAAATTCATTATTTCCATTGATTTCCCACTGTAAATAAACAACAGTGATTTCTGTTCATGATAATAACTCCGGCTTGATTAAAACAGGAGGCTCCCTCTTTTAAAAACAGATAAAACTATAAACAATGGCTTATCACGTCTACCAGGGTTGCAGCTGGGTCCAAGGGACACTGTCTAGTCCCGTCCTATACTCCTCGCTAGTAGCTGCTGCTGTCACTGTCTCTGGCAGACGATTCCAATTGAGCCGTCCCATGCAAAAAGGGCCCTTATTGGAATTACGTCATAATCGAGAAAAACGTCGCTAAAAGTTAACGTCATAATTTGCATAGAATTAATTTGACGTCTGCAGTAATATAAAAAGAAGAATAAAATGAAGATTCCACAGTGATGGACTTTTTAGAGGTAATATCATTAAATAGTAAAACAAACTGTGCTCATAATTTAATTACAAAAAGATATTTGCTGAAAATATTTAAATTACTCAACATATACGCAAGGAGAATAACTGAACGAATTCCTGGATCCACACCTGGGACATAAAAAAAAAATCGCTAATAATGCGTCAATCTACATTCACACAAAAGACTCCTGTAGCTCATGTACTACAACTGTACAGAGCTGTTTATCGTAAACAGTATCATTAAATTTGATGTAGGCCTAATGGTAATATTAAATTAACTGAGTATTATACACAAATTCGTCTGATATTTATGTTCCCCAAACAAAGTTTGGGAACATATTGTTTTTACTCTGTTTCTTATTATTATTATTATTATTATGTTCCCCAAACGAAGTTTGGGAACATATTGTTTTTACTCTGTTTCTTCTTATCATTATTAAGGTCTTCCGTCTTCACGGAAGACCTTATAGTGATTCTACTGTTTCTTATTATTATTAAGGTCTTCCGTCTTCACGGAAGACCTTATAGTGATTCTACTGTTTCTTATTATTATTATTATTATTATTATTATTATTCTTTTTTTTGACAAAATTTTGTGCACGCGATTTCTCGAAAAGTATTCAGTCGTTTTCAATGAAACTTTCAGGAAAAATCAGTCATTGTATGAACTTTGTTCATCACAAGGAAAATTTGGAAAATTCCATTTTGGTTCCAAGTTACTGGCAATTTCCTGATTTTAAAATGAAATTTTGTCGCCCCTTTTTTTCAAGAATGGCTAAAGATATGAACTGGAGACTTATTGGAGAGCATAGAACGTGACTTCTAAATTTGCAGAATCGCCTTTTCGTTCGCCGTCGGCACTTCCGGTCGTCACAGGAAGTGATCAAAGAAATCGTAAAATTTCAACTTTCTTTTTTTAAATCAATACTTACATCACATTATTGCATCTCTTTTGTAGTTTCGAAATATGTTGGTCCCACCGGAAACAAAAACGTCAACTTCCGGTTATAAGAGAAAAACTACATAATTTGAGTATTTTTCTTTCCCATTAATATCCTTTGTAGATAAAGTATTTGAAATGAATTTTAAATATGTCATTTAGACTGCAAATATCTAGAGTTACCTCAAATATCTTTGTAAAATTCACTTCCGGTCGCGTGTTTTCCTGTCCTCAAAATGAGAAGTTGCCTGAGCAAGATCTCGGAAACGGTGAGAGATTAAGACACCAACTTATATGAGCAACAGACCTTAAGATCTAGGCAAAACAATTTGGGTTCAGAGCGTCAGCCGTCACTTCCGGTCGTAACAGGAAGTGATCAAAGAAATCGAAAATTTCAACTTTTCTTTTTTTAATTAAAAATTGCATCACTTTATTGCATCTTTTTCTCAGATTCGAAAAATGTTGGTCCCACCGGAAATAAAAACGTCAACTTCCGGTTTTAGGAGATAAACTACGTTATTTTTATATTTAACATTCTCATTAATATTGCTTATCGATAAAGTACTTGAAATAATTTTATGTATGTTGTAGATACTGCAAATGTCTAGAGAAAAGTCAGAGATTTTTATAAAATTTACTTCCGGTCGCGTGTTTACCTGTCCTCAAAATAGAATTTGTTCTAACAATAT